TAATTACTTACAATTATCCTTATAATTATCTTTTACATTTTAAAATTTTTTTAAATTTATAATTACATAAAATTTTCTTTTTATATCTTAAAAAGGAAAATTTTATTTTACACATGTCAAAATCTAAGATCGATAGAATTGCCACGTGTCACGATCCTATGAGTTACTAACTTTAAAACCATACTTTATATAATAAGATACTTTGATTTATGGTGATATAGCAAAATATACATTTTCCTTTTGCCAGTTTTCTTTTATAAATTTAAAGGACATTTTTTTTCTTTTACATTTTTTTGGGTTAATATTGGGTTAACATATAGTCAAAATTGATTAAATTTGGATAAATTTTGAGTAAGTCAAACCGAGTTAAATATTACCGGATTACTAATCGGTTCAATTGGAGGCGTAATTTTAAAAACAAATCCGAAAGTACATATAGTTTTATGAGATAATTGGCTGGAAGACAATAAATCTTAGTCTAACTAGTTTTTCTACATTTCGTTTTAGAGTCCATAACAAAGAAGATTTTAGCCCACATTTGTTTCCAAACTAACCCCACACGTCTGACGTTTCGTTTTTGCTTTTAATTTTTGACTCTTACGTGTTTATTTCTCTTTCATGTTCATCTATCTCTTCTCTCTCAACTATTTTCTAATTAATTCATTCAAACCGAGTAGAAAAACACTGTCGTTAACTATTCACACTGTCGTATCAGAGAATTTTATAGTAGATCTATTCTTTGGAAGAGACAGCTTTCACGAACAAATATGGATCTACAACAACATTTTTGGATCTCCACAAATAGATGTACAAAGCATTGATGCAGATCTAAGAAAATTTGTGGAGATGAGTCAAAGAATTTAGATAGATAAACTAATAATAACAGTTCATGCATAGATAAACTAATAAGAAATTTTATGGTGAAAAGTAAGAAGACGATGAAGCATAGTCCATAGTCTATGCATGAAATAAATTTAGGGAAAAAAGTTCGAATTTCATCAAAATTTCACAAATAAATAGTAAGACATGCTGCCCTGCAAGTTTCATGTATCCCTTGGTTAAATTTCTTAAATTTCGTAGCAACGGTTCTATGGAGATGGACGATAGAAACCCTATGAATTGCTTTTTGGGTAAACATGTCCCAATTAGTTAAAAAAATAATAGTTAATTATAAATTTAGCTACATGTCCATACACTTTTCTAGAGTCATATATCGAACTATATAGTGCTAAATTTATCAATAGGTATTTACGTAGTTAGGTTAGTGGTTTAAAATTATTAATTTCCACCCATACGTGTTGGTTATAGATTCAAATTTCAGAATTACGAAGACAATTGGACGGCTTGCATTTAATAATCGTTCCTCGTTTTTTGTGTCGCCGTGTAAAGGTAATTTCACATGCAGAACATTTAAAAACAGTTATTTCATTCGTTCTCGTCACCAATAGTCAATGGTGTTTATCACACGCGCATGGCCAAGACACCAACTGGTTTTATTGTAATTTCTTTCGAATCAGAGCCCATATGTAACTATTATTTTCTTTTGTTTGGGACCAAATCTACTATTGTCTTTTACCTAATTACTTATCCCAATTTTGTCTCTGCACAAAATCACCCTAGTTTTATTGAGATTAATTTTTTTTTTTTTGTGGTATTTTCAAAGACAAAAAGTTTAGGGTGGAAAGAGCTGAAAAATCAGCCAACCCGTGAATATATATATATATGTGTGTGTTTACTTCATTGTTGTATCATGTCTCTTCAAGACTTATCATTCTTTGTAACATAGTCCCTGTGGCCAATTATTAACTGTACTCATAGAGGTCAATAAAATAGAAGGTAGTGGACTGCAGAGCAGTCATATTTGTAGTGAGATCAAATGTAACTTAAGTGGGGCTTTTATTATATAAACAAAGATTGATTATTCTCATGAATAAATTGTGTCACAAGTCCTCTAATTGATTTGCAGCTGAGAAAAGCTAGAGAGCCAAAAAAATATTATATACCAAGTCTCATTTGTTGAACAAAAATACTCTCTTCTTTCCCTTCTTTCTCTACAGAGCCTGCAACGAAATATCAAACCAAAATAATCAGTCATTGCTAATGAAAGCTTGAAGTCTTCTAGAGATTGTAACGAGAGTGATAAAATGAATTTAATGCTTTGAAGAACATTACTCTCTTGATAAATAATCTCAGGGTGACTACTATTTCATCTCTTGAGCTGCCAAAGACAATAGAAGATTAAATGCTAACAGTGGAGTATTCAACAGATATATAACAAACAATATGAATACACAAGACCCTATCATTTATTGAATCAAATGTGTGATATATCTCCTACACTTGTGTGTCTAATCATACTGGGATTCATAGATAGGAGGATCATTGGACCAAGCATATGCTGATTGATCCGGATCGGCTTTTGAACTCACTAAGTACTTTCAACCTAATTAATTTTTGTCAGACTCATCAAACTCAAAGCATTCTTATGGACTACTTCCCTCTTTGAAAGAAAGTTAAGTTCTACTCACCAGATAAGGTCTGTCGATCCATTATCTGCTTGTAAAGGAATGCTCACTACCATCAGAACCAATGATAACAAGTTCTGCTGGTTGCCCAAACGGAATTGTTATCTACACAAGTACGACAAGAAGGATTTAAATATTAGTTTAAAGCTCGTTGCCTTTCCTACATCAAACATTTACTTACAACGATATGAAAAATCAGCTGAAAACAAAAATTATGGTTTCGCTACGTGCTCTTGTAGAGAAGACGTTTAAATCAGTAAACTACAGTCTGCTCAATGAACATGCATGTAAGACGCAGATCTTGTTTAGGAAGTAACAAAGCGTTGAAAACTCTTTATTCAGCGACTCTAAAATTCAACTTATAAAATGGGACAAGCCTTATAGCTTACAGAGGCATTCCTATTGCTTACAGAAGCATTCCTATTGCTTAGTATTGATATACAATATGTATGCATCATAAGTTCAACACGCAAAGCTCCCTCCATACCCACACCGCCACACGTTTCACAGACGAGCGCAATTTATTTAATGACAATAAAGGACAGAAACAAATAAGGCATAAGTCTTACAGCAGTAGAAGCTGAGAACTTTTCTGCAATTGTGAGATTATTATTACACTTGATGCTGTAACCTTCTCTCTTAATAGATAACGTAGCTGCTTCCCATATATCCAGGAAACCAGTCTGTTCATGCATGTGAAAGATTAATCCAAGAAAAGCCAGATAATACATAGCCAAAATATACGAGTTGAAATGGCAAATGTTATACCGCATGAGAAACTTTGTATGAAGCATGACCAGTATGAAGAGTCTTCTCTATATTGCTCTGCATCTCTGGAACTGCGAAAATAAAAAGAGGATTACTGTTACATATAGGTCTGACAATAAATATTATTAAGTTTTCGAAGAATCCTTCAGATTTAAAGGAACCACACTCTTACACAACCAACCAGAAACAGCTCAGCGAGCATAAAAGACGTAACATCTTAATATCAAGACGTAAACCGACAAGTGGCCTAGTTAAATAGGAACTCAAGAGGCTGATTCTCTAAGTAAATAGATTAACTTACGGCAAGCGATCTTGCGAATTGCGATTATTATTGGCAAAAACCTTCACAAGCTCCCCCTGAAATCAGAAAGTAGCAAATGAATATTGCAAACCACATGAAAAAACTGAAAAACAATCAGCAGAAAACAACAGTAAGGACATCTAACAAAACTGTTAAATCGTATCTGTACTTTCCCACGGCGAATCTTTTCCCCTACAAGATTTTAGCATGAAATCTAGCCCACGACACAAAAATGCTGAGGTAAATAATGGAAACTAAAATCCATATCAAGATTCCAGTATATCACAAAATCCTAATCCTCACTTTCCACAGAAAAGAACTAGTCAACATATAATCTCGTTCATACAAAAAGATATTAACCTTTCGGTTCCTGTCATCCAAAGGCTGAACCTCAATAGCAAGATATAAATGAACATCATCAGCAGTGACAAGGTAATTTGGCTGCTTTGCTCCTGCATTAGAAGTTCGTTAGCGACTAGATTCTTATTTCAATATAAAGAAATAAGAAACAAAATTCAGCAGGAGGGGAATGTACCATCAATGTAATTCACAGATCCATCTTCTAGATGACATACCCACTGAAAATTGAAGAACAGAAGTAGATAAGATTAGATGCAGTTAAACACATAAGTAAAGGAAGCGATTCTGTTTTTCTATGTAGTACGAACCTCAAAATTACAACCCATTAATGGAGTAACCACAAGCCTGAAGTTCATGTCCAGGATAAGGTTCTCCTGAAATTTGGAGGTCATCAAATACATACCCATATGATGGATTTTGGGCATCCTCGACCACAGTCTTGCTGATAGGCTCAAGAAACTGAACATGTTTAGGTGGAGTTTCGTCTACTTTCCTCAGAGCAGGAGATTCGTCGAAACTCGTACGAGTCGTACCTGGTTGCACATGCATCTCAAAGGCTGCCGACTGACTAGTACACACTGAAACGAATTTAATCTTCAAACTATGTTCAACATTGCAGACAACTATCCACCAATAACTACAGTGCATACAACCAGGAGACCACTACGAAATTGATCATAATCGTAACAGGACAAAATTAGATGGTATGGCACCTCATGACAGATCAAGACATAAGACTCTTGGCCTATGACTAATCTGATACTTTTGAGAATTGACATCATCATATGAGCATAGGAAAAAGTCGATGAACATTCAGGGTGCAGAAGAGGGATACTAACTATTGGCTTAGAACAAGGAATTTTCAGAGTCAACAGGAAAGACTCAAGCGTCAAGATTCATTGCCAAATTAAATCAAATACTTTCCAGCATGATTTACAAGTCAAGAGAAAGCAGTCAGAGTCAAGAGTCATTGCCAAATTAAATCAAATAACTTGTCAGTGTGTTCTACGAGTCAAGAGCCAACAGTCAGAGTCAAGAGCCAACAGTCAGAGTCAAGAGTCATAGCCAAATTGAAAAGTTCACAAGATCAATGAAATAAACGACTCCGTTTCAGCCAGGATCAAAGGTTCTTTCAACAAAGCCTCACAGCTCTTGACCCAAATCAAACTATAATGGATTGGAAAATGAAGAATCTATTTAGGAGCAGCAACATTTTTGGAACGAAACTGTAAAGAGGCTTCAGCTCAAAGATCAGGCATGCCCTTTCCTGTTTTAGCATCATATGTCTGCTCCCAGACATACTCCATTGGTGTGTCCTTGGGGCCAGCTGCGTAAGAAAACAAGTATTAATCCTTGTGCAAGAAAACCGCTACTGTGTTTATTCTATCGTATGATTATGTTGTTCTCAAATAGCTAACAGATATTCCACTACATATTTCCAAAATCCAATGTGTAAATCCCATGTTTAGAGAGATGTTGAGCTTCTATGTACCAGTTGCGGGTCTTGGTGTAGCCCTTATCTTTAGAATCTCAGGGCGAGGAATGATGGAACCAGATGTGCCTGTGCCTCTGGCTACTCTTACTTTTGTTCCATCCTCTAGGTACTTGACACCAACCTTACAAGGCCTCCTGAGGTAGAAAAGATGACAGACAAATAAGAATACCATAGTTTGAGCAAAAGAGTAGTGCAGAGTGAGATCATACCCAGTGACTGGATCAACAACTTGGACATTAGAGGCGTGAAGAGGAGCCTCTACCGTGAAAATTCCACCTTCATGATCAGGGCCTCCCTTTATATGCTTCTTGATCTGCGAATACAGAAAAAAATATACACAAGCTGTAACAAACAGAGTTTCAGTAAGTAGCCAAATACTATCCCAAAACGAAAAGAGTTGAACAATTCAAAACATTTATGTTTATGTAGCTAGCCCATGGAATGAGACCGAGCAAAAAGATATCCACAAGAAGACAATCTCACCAGATTCTTTCCTTCAACAATGACACGATTTTGGGATCGGATGACGCGCTTTATGGTTCCAGTCTCACCCTTATCTTTGCCACGAATTATCATTACCTACATCAAAAATGAAACCAAACTAATGAACAACACAAGAAGAAGAGGAATAGTGAACAAAGTTAGTTGTCCTCTCTCACATTATCCCCTCGAAGTATCTTCCAGTGTCTGATGAGTTTCTCAGCAGCTTTCCAACCCATGGCTCCTCCTACTCACAACAAAGACAAAAATCAGCAGTGAAATGGAAATGAAGAAACCAAATCAAAGAAATTGCAAAACCCAGACTAATCTTCGTAAAGTTTCTACTAGCCGTGCATTGCACTAGAACAGAGAGCAATTACGTTTATCGATCTCTATAATAATAAATAGCGATCTACTTTTTACAAACCTTGGAAAATGGAGAAAACTGATGATTAAAAACGAAATCGTCACAAATCGAAGGGGACCAAACAATCTCCGACGATCGATGAGAGAGAGAGAGAGATTGAGCAAGGAAGGAAGGAGCCTAAAGAGCGGAGAGGTTTCGGGTTTTAGGTTTTCGATGGATAAAGGCCCAGGCAGGTGTATCACTCATTCACTCAAATTTAGTAGATTTTTATTTCGTTAAAAGGCTAAAAGCTTTACACTTTACAAAATCAGTTTTAATTTACCATTTCAATTAACTAATCTAAAATTACAACTATTTACAACATAATTTCCATAAAGATTTTATTGTAAATTGCTAGTTATACTCGATAAAGTTTTTTTTTTTACATATTTGTGAATTTTAGCTTAGACTGTGTAATGTTGCTGAATCGTGTCAATGTCAAGTCCTTTAAGCTTCACAACTGACTCTACGTGCCCTTTTAATGTATTTATCTCTCTCAGCCTGCACAGATCATCAAACCTCATCAGTTGACAAAAACTTGTGGAATAACCGAAAACGAAAATCGATTTTCGACTAAGATCAAGTTTTGGTTAATGTTATGAAGTCGGAGAAGTTAAGACAGGCGAGAATCGGGTTGAGCTCATGTACATATGGAGTTACTAGAGCTTTGAATTGATGGTGTGAAGAGTATAGATTAGTTTCTTTACCTGACAACCTCAGCTCGCCGTTTAGCCTGTTCAGCGATCTGAGAAAGCTCACTGTAACTATTCTTTTCGTTAAAGATGTTGTTTGTATCTGCTGGTTGAAGTCCATGGAGAGTTCTTTGAGCTGCAGCCCATTGAGCTTCTCTTTCCTCTTTCCCATAGTCTTTCTTCGTCGTGAAGGCAGTCTGATTTGTTTTGTACATAGAAAAACAACAAATAAATATTGCAAGATTTTTTGTAGGTTACTCTGGGATTTTCGGTATTGGTATCGCTACCTTGTTCTCAAGAAGGTTTAACCAAGCTTTTCCACTCAAAACGTAGCGGATCCCAAACTTGAGTAAGTCAAGAGGGATATACGTTATGAGACTGTATAGCCAGATCACTCCAGCCCATCCCCAACCGGCTCCTTCTATCCGTGCAAAACTCCAGTTTGCATAAACTGCTATTAATGTCGCCACCTGAGATTGCATAGGCCGCTATATCAACTTCTTGTTCTGTTTTCATGAATGTTTTCAAAAGAGTTTAAGGAGAAGGAGAAGCATGTGTTATATTATATAAATTTGTGCATACCAGTTGAGCTATGATAAATGCACCAAGTAAGAGAAGACCAGGGCATTCGACGTAGGACCAGCTACGGGATCTGGTGACGAAGATGAGAGCCTGACTTATGATGCTAACTTGTAGATACAGAGCAGCCATCATTTGTTCAGGACGTTGGCCCAGTGGTCTCACACCAAAATAGTTCTACATAACCCCAAAAGAGTTTAGCTTTTTGAACTGGCCTAGAGCAGCAATTGAGAATAAGAGTATATACCGAGAAAAAATCACTGTCTTTCATCACCCAGAAGAAAACGACTGTCATCAAGGCCTGGTAGCCTCCAAGCACGACGCCGGTCGAGAAGATTTCTCTGAGTTTCCAGCTATCTGGCTGTGGAGATGGCTTCAGCCTGTCCTTTGATATTGTCATGATTGTTCCTATAAGTAGCAATGCTTCTGTTGGTTTTATCAACTGTTAACTATTATATGCAGTTAGTACTCTATAATGTGACCTCACCGTCATTTAAGATTGCTATGATCAGAACCATGAAAGGCGAAATATCGAACTGCCATATGAGAGCAATGAACATGAAGCCAAACTGCACACGTTGCGATAACTTTACATTAGGATTGAAACCATTTAAAGTTTTAAACCAAATGAAATCTCGTGACACCTACTAAGTACACTTACCACAATACGTATCGTTACTGAAACCGCATAAATCTACACAGAGAGACGACGTCAAGATTGGCGTTAGTGAGTCTGCGAAAGGCCGAAATATTGAATGAGAAGAAGTTTTAACTCACAGTGTAGTTTTTCATTCTTTGGAATATGGCTCTACTGGTGAGCACTGCACTAAAGATAACGCTCAATCCAGGTTCTGTGAGAACGATATCAGAAGCGCCTCTCGCAGCATCAGTAGCATCAGCAACAGCTATACCAATATCCGCCTTCTTGAGAGCCGGGGCATCATTCACACCATCTCCAGTCATACCACATATGTGCTTCCTTTGTTGAAGCCTACTAACAATCTCATACTTGTGTTCTGTTTCCGTGCACCAGAGAATCTATCAATAAGAATCTGGACACGTACTAGAACGCATGGTTAAGAATATAGCCTTCTATTAAAGTGTATATACCTGGAAAGACTCCAGCAAACCCATCGGCCTTCTCTATCAGTTCATCCACAGGAAGTGCACCTAAGGAAGAATCTTTGTCTTGTCCAAGCAGCGCAGAAGAAGGATACATGTTCGTACCCATTCCAAGCCTTCGACCGGTTTCTTTCCCGATTGCAAGCTGGTCCCCTGGTTTCAATCAGAAGAGAAAACTAGTTTCAAGCAAAATGAAGTGCAGAGAGACAAGGACTAACTCAGAAGATTTGTATGATTCTTACCGGTTATCATCTTAACATTCACACCGAGGTTTAAAGCCCTCCTGATTGTCTCGGCACTGTCATGCCTCGGAGGATCAAAAAGAGGTAAAAGACCTACAAGTTGCCATGGGCCACCAGGAGCATCTTTCTTCTTCTCAGGAACTTCCTGCACCATTAAAATCGATATGAATCACGACAAAGAAACAAGGACACAGAAACTTCACGATATATATTAACTGAAAACTAAACCTGTCTTGCAACAGCCAAAGATCGAAGTCCACGCTCAGCAAACTTATCAATCACTCCATGACTTTCCTCCTAACATCTTCCTTGCAATTGCAGAGGTTCAGTATCTGTTAACAACGGTGCATAATGATCATCAGCAAAACCAATGACTTGAGCTGAGCAACATATAAAACATAGAAAAAGCCAGTTCATCAATACCTGCTCTGGAGCTCCTTTACTAGCTCTATGCCAGCTTCCATCAGAGTCAATATACGTCAAAGCAGTTCTCTTATCAACTGGATTAAAAGGAAAATAATGAACCTCTCTAACACCAGCTCTAGCTTCTTTAGGATCAGCAAGCATTCCAACAATAGCTGCAACAATCGCATCTTGATTCTCAATCCTCGAAGCTCTCGCAGCCAAAAGGAAAACATGTTCTTTACCAACTCCTTTCGCAAAAACCTCGACTAAATTTCTATCAACCGTGAGCTTATTAAGCGTAAGAGTTCCAGTCTTATCACTACACAAAACATCCATACCAGCCATTTCCTCAATTGCAGTCATTCTCTTAGTAATAGCTCCTTGTTGAGACAATCTATGAGAACCAATCGCCATTGTAACAGATAACACACTTGGCATAGCTATAGGAATCCCTCCGATCAACAAAACAAGTAAATTATCGATTCCGTCTCGATATCTCCGGCGTTGAATCGGATACATCACTAAAAGCTCAACGATGATTCCTAAAGCAATCGAACAGATACAGAAGTTACCAATCGAAGTGAGAACTTTCTGGAAATGGCCGATTTGGTTTGTGTTGTCGACGAGATGAGCTGCTTTGCCGAAGAATGTGTGGACTCCGGTGGCGATGACGATTGCTTCGATCTCGCCTTGTTTGCAAATTGAGCCGGAGAAGACTTCATCGCCGGGGTTTTTTGTGACGGGGATTGATTCGCCGGTGAGAGATGATTGATCGATTTTGAGAGGATCGCCGTCGAGTAAACGTGCGTCGGCGGGAATGATATCGCCGAGCTTGATGCTGATTACATCTCCGGGAACGAGAATAGATGCTTCTTGCTCGCTCCATTGATTATCTCTGAGCACCTTCACTCATAATAACCAAAACAGAAATCAAATTTTTATGATAATTATACCAATTTTTTCATGTTTTCAAATTATTTATATCAAATTTTGTACGTTTTATGTTTTTTCAAAATGATTTCATTATCAAACGTGATATAAATAGAAAAAAACGTAATGGGATTAGTCAAAAATCAAAATTTTAACATAAACAACTATTTTTCATAATTCAATTTTAGGTTAAGGACAATGATCCTCTTTAAATTCTTAAATCTAAAAAAATTAACCACATGTGTTTACTTTATTTTTTTTTAACTTATTATTTTGCTCGCCGTTTTTTCTAGTTTTTTTCTAAACAAAAAAAATTCTACAAATTTAACACTAAAAATTAACAAAAAAATGAGGACGTAGCGCATTGGCATCCCTGGCACTCCCCTAGAGCCGTCTTTTAGGTAAAACTTTCGGGTTCGAGGTGTGATATTCGCCTTTTTACCAATTAGTTTGGTTTTGAATAACTGCATATCAACTAAGGTGGGGGTATTGAACGAGTGAATTTGGAAGAATTTAATAGAATGTTAAATTCTAGTGTTATTCAACAAGGTATTTTATGAATTCTTTTAAATTCTTCTGTTATTCAATTTCTTAATTTCTTAATTCTATCAAATGCAAGTGTTATTCAATATTATGTAGTTTTGGATGAAAAAGTTATTTGACAAGAATTTAATAGAAATTCTAGTGTAAAATGTAAAGAACAAACTCTCAGCTTTTAGGTTGTGATTTTGAAAGAATTAAAAACTATATTGGGACGCTTAGGTTTTGACGTTGTCGGTGACGGTCTCCGGAGAATTGTGCAGTTAGCGGTTTGACGGTAGAGGTGGGAGCATCTCCGAGACCGGGACTGACATCGATATCGTCGCCGGAAACTTGTGCGATTAGCGTCTGGAAGGAGACAAGATTATCTCTAAGAGCGACATCAGAATTATCTGTAGTAAGCTTAAAGTGAGTTTGAAGAGAGATTGGTTATGGATCAAACAGCACAACAATGGTGGAACCAAAGGAAGGAGTGTGAAGGATTATGTGACAGAATAGATTGGGAGTGAGATTAATGAGAGATGATGATGCCTCCTCTCTTCATGACCAGAATATTAACCCTACCTATACAGGAAGAAGATGGATCGTATAGATTGGATAGATGTTAAGTGGAGAGCTACAATCGTGGGATAATTTTCT